CCTGCGCGCCGTCGGAAGGCTGGCTTCCCCCGCCGCCAGCCTCCTCGGGGCGGCTCAGGTCGCCCCGTCTGGCCGCTCGCTCAGGCCCGCTGGGCCCCCGGGATCGTTGGCGCCGTCCGTGCCACCGCCTCCTGCCGCCCCCTTTTTTCTGGCGCAGGGCTGGAGACCGCGGAGTTGAGACCCCACGGCCCCGGCGCGGTGGGGCGTGGGAGTCGAGCCTCGGCGTGAAGTCGGCGCACGCTGCCCCCGGGGAGGTCTCTTCCCCAACGCGAACGGCGGCGTCTCGGGAGAAGCGCTTGGCCGCGGCGGAGAGCGTGGATGCCCCTGGGAGCCAAGGCTCTCCGCCTGCTCAGCGGGCAGAGAGGACGCGAGCAGGATGCGTGGCATCGGCGCGGGCGCGGTTTCTGACGGGGGCGGGGGATATCATTCCAATAACGCTTGAAAAAGGATTTTGAAAAAGCCTTGACATAGCTTGCCCGAACGGCCATCCACGCTTCCCCCACACCTAGCAGTTGGCGACGACCATGGGAAAGCACCCACTTACAATGCTGGTCAAGGAGCAAGACAAGCCTTTTGAAACGTGCAGACTCTGGACCCCCGCTTGGGTTGACCTGGGTCTGGGCGGTCTCATACGCTCGACTCAGGTGCGATGCTACTTAAAAGGGAACTTTTCTATAATAGCTGTCTAATAAGTCCTTCTAGAGAGAGGACTGGGAACTACATGCTATCATTTTACCTGTCTTTTAAGTGCGTGCGTGTGTGTTTTGGGTGTGGATAGATGCAACCATTGTAATATGAAATCGAAAATCCCCAACAATGTATGATTTGTCATCCGTGTTGCCTCCGTTGGTGTCCTATTTCCTTAAACTAAAATGTCCCCCACCCCTTTGATCAATTCCTTAGAGGGTGCCCAAAACCTGAATCAGAGATGTAGACAGGATGCCGGCAGTTCTTTCTCTAAACGTCCTGCTTGTTTCCAGATGCCCTAAGGCCTGACCCCCAGAGGAGCATTAGCCCTAAATGACAAAGTGGAAGCAGAGCGATTTTAAGGATGAAGAAACACAATTTGAATACATCGCTGTTGTCAACCTGTGACCACTTAGTTTTCGTCTGGGGGTAAAACAAGAATGAAATGTGCAAACTTCGACGTCTTTCTGGTTGCCGAGTATAATTTTTACTTCATATATGAAATTATTCTTCAGAATAATTGAGTTCAAATACTTTGAAATTTGAAATTTAGTTTTAAATTAACGTTTGCTTCTAAAGAACGAGTCAAGAGACTAGGAGGTGTAGGGTTATTATATACTTTAACAGACCAATATGTAGGTTTGGTTTCCCCCCCCAAGTTAATTCTTATTTTATATTGGTATATAATTAGAGTTGAATAAAAGAATTTCATTGTGTTTCTTTCTTGGGTATTGTTTCATGATCATTACTGAAAATTTTATCAGAGGAGGTGGTGGTAAAAAATGATCCCTCTGGGTGTGTCATTCTGAGTATGCCACTGGGCTCAGATGATCACAAAATGAACGGCATTCAAACTAAGTGAGCTTTATTAGGTGTTTAATGTTTAAAATTTTGCATGTACTTCATGAGGAAATCATTGCTTTAACTCCATAATTCGTGTGCCAAATGGAGTATCAGTGATTATGTATGTATATATCTGAAAAATTTAATCTGGTATTCCAATGCTAGTATAATTAGTCTACTTTAAGACCTAGCCAGTACACGTCCATGTGTTTGACGGAACCCTAACAACTGCTGACATTTCCTAAGTGCTTACCACATGACAGACCCCATTCTATGTGCTTCATGTGTATTTTTTTGTAACGACCCCACTGGAAGGTCATTATCTCATTCTACAGATGAGAAAGACGAGGTACAGAGGAACTAAGTAACTCGCTTAACATCGCACAGCCAGTAAGCGGAGGAACCGAGATTCATACCTGTACTGTCTTATTCAGAGCCGCGAGCTCAACCCTGGTGGCTTGCTGCCTCACAAAGCTGAGTCTCAGTGAGTTTGAGGAATCACTACGCCGGGGAAGGCATTCTGGATTCCAGGATTTCACCTCTAATTCACTCTGTACCTTCGACTAGGGCAACTGAATGTCTGATTTAGAGAGTACTGATGTTAACGCCATCTAGAAGTTCTGTAAATTACTCTCGCTCTAAATTTTATGATTCTACTATTTTTATGTAAATGAAATTTGATCTTTCCCTTATCAGACTAAAAATAAACCAGAAAAAGAAAGAATGCAGGACGGAGGATAAATTTTGTTTTGTGGTTGCAGAGGTATGTTGTGTGACTGCATCGTCCATAAACTGAATGTGCATTCTGATCACGGGCCCGACGTGAAATGTATATTCATACGTGCCGCCATCGTATACTTAAGGTGTTCCGGGCCATCGCCTCGATCTGTTTCTTAGTGCTGTGAGGTAAACTCTTCGGGAAAATGCGGTTTTAAAGTGGAAGACAGAAGGCGCACGCTGCTTTCCCCACTTCTCTTGAAGATACCACCTCATTGAAATGAAAACCCTTATTAACCCTTTATCCATAATACTGCATGTAAATTGTTTCTTGGTGTAGACAGAACACAAAAGTAGCTTTCCAATGAAAACGTGATTGTTGCCATCCCCAAAAGTCCCTCTCTGAAAGGGCTTTTTCCCCTCACTCCAACAAATTTTCAGTTAAATTCTATTTACCTCATAATCTGACTTCCAGGCTTGTATTTGGAACTATTAAGAATAGTTTTTCTGGGGCTTAAAAAAGGTTGGGGTAGGAGATCAAACATTAACAAGGTGGAACTTCCGCTTATTACGAAGTCCTCTACCTACGGTTACCACTAAGCCAAAGAAAAAGCTGACGAAATTTGTGAGCAGAGCCTACTTTCCTTCTCTTCATGTGTTACTGTTATGCAAAATATTTCCCATTTTTATTTTTATGGTGGCCACGATTTCTATCAAAGGTGAAGACAGAGGCAAACTAAGAGAGCATTTCCTCTCTGCAATCCAGAGGACGGACCACGTCAGTGCTCATTAATCCATTCTCTCTCATCTTTGGGGCTATCTTGCCAACTCTAACCACAGACCACTGGTTTAATTTAACTAAGAGACAGTAAGGGTAATTCACAGAAGCTTGGGTCTCAAATCTGATGCTTGAGAAGCAAGTATGTACAGAACCATGTTTAATTGTGTTTGTTTATAAAACAACAAAGTCCTGTAAGCTGCTGAAATTTAAGTCTGGTCTTTGTGATTTAAAAATCACATGAATAGAACTAAAGGAGGTTAAGAATGTTTTGGCCAAAAGGAGTCTGGATGAGCTTAGAAAAGTAATGGCTAAGGGGTGATGCTTTCCAAGCAGCTGTCACGCTGAGGCTGCTGTCTGTCCTCTCCCCATCTCATAGGGGAAAGCAGCAGGAGAAATCTAGATTAAAAAACGCAACGATTTTAAATTAGGGCCGTTTAAGAAGTCCAGGCCAGTGCACCCAGTGATGCGAAGGGCTGAGGGCTGTGGCTGCTGGGGGTGACAGGGGTGAGTGTACCAGGGTCTACCTCAGTCTCACCCACAAACCTGATCGGGGTATGAGCGCCCTGGAGAGTACTCAACCAGCCTAACGGAAACCAGTCTCTTTGGTGGCACCTCAGGCACCAGAGGTGGAGGGAAAAGCCCTCGGGCCAAGCTGCAGAAACATGGGCGACAGCCATCCCAGCGCAAACCACCCGTTCAAGGGTCTCCCTGAAATCGGCAACTGCTGCTCGGACCCTCCCTTTCTTCAGTCTTGAAGCCACAGATTCTCCTAACGACTCGTGTTTAGTAGCTGTCTCCATGGCAGCAGAGCCCCTGGTAGCGGGCACAGGGTGGAGGCTGATTATAATTTAAGGACTCACAGCATATGCCAGTAGCAGCTATTATTCCCAAAATCCTTGAGAAATTTCTAAAATAGAAAAATACAGTGAAAAAACAAGAAATATTTATGGTGTCTGTTGTTCGCCAGGAAACCTCTTGATTATAATCGAGTTTCCTTCCAGGTCCACCACCTGGAAGAAAATACACAAACCAGTCGTGCCAGGATCCGTGTGTTTTACCTCACCATAAATTAGTACACTGAATTGTGCCACCAAAGAGATCGGTTTCCGTTTCTCGAACATTCTCTTAGGATGGTACGTATCTGTATGTGGCAGGTATTCTTACCGACCTCCCTCCTATCCACGCCCCTCATCCTTCTGCTGTCTTTCTGCTTGGTGTGACTGGCAAAACACCACAGATCTAATTTATGTTCATTCTTGAGAGATCAGTTACATTCCCTGCATCTGATTCACATCTGGGGGCGAGAGACCCGCTCCTTGACCAAACTAGCCAGGTGCCCCTGAGCTCTGCTCTCACCTAGGCCTCAGCCTTGGCCTCTGAAGACTTGAACAAACATTGACAAATTCCTGACAGCTCAAGACACATCCCAGAACACCCCAGCTCCCCTTAAAGTGCCTGCCCGAGAAAGCTCAAGGCTGCCAGGACACCCCACTGTCTGGTCCGCCCAGCACCCGGAGGTGGGGCCAAGCTCCAGAGGGGCAGGAGCCTAACTGATGGATAAGGGCCATGAACCCAGATGGCGTCACACAAACCGTCTATGAAATGAGAATGCTCCGTACACTCTTGGTACCAGAACCTTCAATGATGGTTGTCGGCTTCTGGAAACGCTTTCTACTTTACAGCAGCGTATCTTCTTGTTACCTGTCTCAGCTGTGCTGTAGGGCAGAAATGAAATATATGATATATTCTTCCCTACATAGAGCAAATATTAAAAACTCAGGTGATACATTCTTTACATAGTATAGGTACTAATTTTGTTCATTAAACAAGGATGTTATTACTAATGTTTACAGTGTTTTGCTATTTTAGGACTTAAAATGCTATTTTATTAAGCAGACGCATTCCCACCTTCTACGAATGAAAATCAAATCATCTAAAAATCTCAATTTCCAATCAAGAGCATTTAGAGCCTCCTGTTTCCATTAAAACTTATTTTATGGTGGTGCTAATCTAGGTGACACCGAGTGGGTATAAAATGACAAAAGTAGGTATTTTCCTACTTTTGCAGTATAGATTTATAAAATTTGCAGTATAGATTTATAAAAGCGTATTTCACATTCTCTGAGGGTTCACTGTGCTAAACGTGCGACAGCAAGTGGCAGAACGTCTGCGGTTTGGCCGCTCCGGCTCCGTGGTCCTGGCTGAAGCCAGGTGAGAGAATCTGTACTAGCGAAGGGCCCTCTGGACTCCGTCACGTCCAGGTCACAGACGGTCGGAAGTGATGTCTGTGTGCAGGGCTTCTATGTCTAGGTCTGAATCGCAAGGTCCACCTCCCCTCCACTGGCTCGTCAGGAATGAATAACTGGGATAGAGTTATTAATCCTCGAAGCAGCCTTTTACAAAGCAAACTGCAGCTGAACGACTTTGCTTTGAAAGCCTATAAAGGAAACTGACATTAAATGTGTTGACTAAACCAACCATCCTATCCATCTGATCATTGAGATGGCAGTTCAGTGTGTGAAGACGCCAAAGGTACATCCTCTCTGTGCTCGTCAGTTTCCATTTTCACAAATAACTGCAACAGGTGCCATTTCTATGAATTCAGTATGTTTCTAGTCGAAACAGTAACTATTTCTTTAATGCTTGCGTTTAAGACAAGACTTTAAAAATTTTAACAAATTATTTCACTTAAACTTTGTTTATGTCACAATTCCCCTTCCAGGCAACATCAAGACCTGAGCCGCAGGGTGGGTGACTTCTGTTTTCGACAGCGGGTCCTTGAGAAACATTGTTGCGCTTCACGTCATTCTGTTATGGCACTGATGAAATGCCATAGGAACTGAACGCTTATGTCTATCATCCAGCCTGTGGCAAAAGCAGATTCATAATATGCCATCTCAACGCAGTTCCGAGAACCTATGGGTTAAGGGAGGACTTACTGAACGAGTCCTGTTTCTTTTCGCTCCGCTTTTCCTGTTCTGCACCGAGGTTTTAACTTGGCCAAATGAATTTACTGTTCATAACAAGCCTCCGAGGCTCAGCTACAAAAAGGAACCCTATGTGAGCCTCAAATATGACATGAAATGGCCCTACTGCAGGCGTTTGAGAAGCAACAAAACGTTTTACATATTCATTGGAAAAAGTAAAATAATCCATTCAATAATCCATTCCCCAGGCTCCCCACCTCTTCCACCCCAGTTTTAAGAATCCTCTTTACTACGCTATTCGACCAAGACCGGTTAATATCAGGGACGAAGAAAATTTACCAAGTATGTTCCTTATGGGCACTGTCTACTTGATAATGGGTACCAACGTTAAATAAATGTTACTACGTTTAATTTCACTTACCTTACAAATTGTCTACTGTCCTGTTAGAAGCACTGAGCATTACGACAAAAATGCCACACTGTTGATGTCACACAGTAGCAGAATATGCAAATGTAAATTATCCTGTAACGAAGACCTGGGGAAAAAAGTGGCTTAGACAAGACCGATGTTAATTTCTGTCTTGTAAGAGTCTGAAGGGAAATTGTTTTTTCCTTCTAGAATAATAAAATACTGATGATAAGTCTTGGCAATTTATTTCACTAAGCGACTTTAGAGTATTAAATAAAAAGTTCTTTAATTTTTAGCAAATAAGTAAAAAGTAGTAATTTTGTTACAGGTTCTGAAAAATTGGTAAAACTGTAAAGCAGAGAAAGGTTTCCCAAGCAAGCCATCTGCGTACTTTCCTCCTTTATTAAGGGGGAAAAATGTCTTTGTGATTCGGCTGAAAGAGCATGGAGCAATGCAGAGGCGGTCAGGAAATGTCGTAAATCTCCATCCTGCTGGGAACCCTCTCCCCGTCTCCCTGCGCAGGACCGGCTAACATCACGCACTTGGCAGCTACGGAATCTGGTCAGCGGTCACGATCGGTTCGCTCGTGCCTGATGCTCAAGCGCTCGGCTCCCGCTCTGCACTGTTACCTACAAAGCTGTCCTTCATCTATTGTCATTAAAAACTACCCTACCGTAAGCTTTAGAGCATCGAAGTGACAAAACAGACTTATATTTTTGTTGGAAATACACATATCCCGAGTTTCCATTTTCCGGAAAAGCAGAGTCCCCAAGTTACATGCCGTGGAAGCCACTTTACAGGCGGCTTTATTTCGATGACCCGAGGTGAATGAGTGCCACTATTGTTGTGTAGCTGTGAAACAGATCCTCATCCTTCACCTCGTTACATTTCTTCAGTATGAAATTGCCAGTGACTATGCGATCGCATCCAATCTCTCCGTTTCCAAAGAAGCCAAATAAAGGAACGCTAGGAAACAACTTTCTAAAAGCGTCGGCCTCCACATTCGCCTTGGCTCTGTAATACTGAAAGCCTCTGCCGACGCACGCGAACATGAAGCCCACGGTGTTCTGCTCCGGAATGCTGGCGGCTTTGAGGCGCTGCATCGCAGCCTCGGCCGTCTTCTCGTCACTGACGTCCTCGCTGAGGAGCACTGTGGCACTCTGGACCCGGTGTCCACTAAAAGACAGTCCAACCACGCCGGTGGCATCGATATCCAGAGGGTTTCTGGAAAATTCAATCGGGAGAGTGGTGATCACCACCAAACAAAATGAGAAGGCTGGAGTGTAGAAGGCCCTCCCGCCTCATGCTGGCGGACGGCGGCCACCATGAGCAGCCCGCGCGTAGTCCGAGGCTCACGTCCAGCCTGGGGAGGGCGGGAAGGGCTGGAACTGAGCTGCGGAAAGGCGAAGCGCGGGAGGACGCGGGGGCGGACCTACGGAGAAGCAGGCCACTGTTTTTTCGGTCACAAACACAAAGGGGCAAATCCACCTCCACAGAGATTTCTGGAGCCCATCCTTCGAAAGGCTTTTTTTTAACTCAAAATTTGTGCATCTCTGAGTTTGAAACTCAAGGCTCTGCTTTCAAACGTAAAAAACACTTGCTCCTCTACCTCGGCCAGATTTGACAGCCGCCACGGGTGATGCTCCTCCCCCTCCAGGACTCTTCGGGACACTGAGAACGGCAGAGGCCCTTTTTACTATGAAGAGTCACTGCTGTACCATGAATTTCCTCGAGAGGGGGAAACAGAACTAGGGGGGAAGTGACACACTGCGGTTACTCAGAGCCCAGAGCTGTCCAGGGAGGTGTCAGCGGACAATGCTGAAAATCGATTACGAGCATGAGCCCAACCAAGAAATAGTTCTTAAAGGACTCAGAGATTTCGTTCTTCGGCTGTAAGCAGAATCACGTGGACTGAGCCCCTCGACCTGCGTGTACTACAAAATGGAATGAACTCGTTAGTGAGTCTTTAAACTTGTTTAAGGAAAAGAAGACCAAGGTCACAAAAACCTGAGAACACTTCTTGTCACACAGAAATCGGAAGCACAGACGTACTTTTCAGAGGTCAGTGATGCCAGGTTGTCCACCTGGCCTCCGGCCAAGATGACGTTCATGTCGCTGAAAGTGCTGACCACTCGCTGCAGGTAATTGCTGGCTCCCACCCTGCAGCAATTGTAGCCAAACACCAGGACCACGCGCAGCTCAGGATTGTCCAGAAGACCTGAGAGAAACGAAGAGCGACACTCAGGCAGCCCCACAGAAGGAATTTTCCAGTTTATTACAACTTCGTTCTCCATATTTTGCAAAAGGAGACGTCAGTGTTAGTGACCTGCACGATCTGGCTCCGTTTGCTTCTCCAGCCTCATCTCACACCCCACCCTCGGCCTCCCACAATATCGGACCCACGAGATTTAAATCCTTGCGGCGAGGTAGCGGGGCCTTTCTACTTCCTGTCCTCTGGTCTCTGGGCTCCCCTGCGCTCCTGTCCGTAACCTGGGAAGAAGGTGAACACGCTCCCCTCAGGTTCACAGCCACCCAGGGCCAGTCCAAGCGTCCCTTTCCCAGCTGCGCAGCGCAGATTCCCTCCCGTGGCTGCTTCCAGCACCTGCACGGCCACCTGGCCACACTCGTCACCTGCGCCCCAGGGCGGTCAGTCCTGCTAGACTGGGGCCCGGACGCAGAGCAGCATCCCCTCCAACAGCGGACCCGGGCGGTGCTGTGCGTCCGCAGCTCGCGTCAGGCATGCGGATTATGAGCCAGCCTGTCCAGATATGTATCTTTTAACTCCAGAGATTACTGGTAACAAAGGGTACCAAACAGACCCTTACCACGACTAGGCTTCATGTTAGAAATACTTCACTTGGTAAGTTCTTCAAAATGACTAACAGAAAGTGTGCGTGTGTAAAATGACGTCCTATGAGGCTGGGTCAGAGGAGGACATCTCTACACGAAGCCAAGAACTGTCATAATCGGGTGCGAGGCCGTGTCTGTAGAGGACTTGCCAGGCGTGGGAGGGAGAACAGGGCCACCGGCCTGCTCACCATGGGCTTCGCACGCCACCTTCTGGTCACCGCTGCTCAGTGCCACGAGGTCAGTGGAGACAGCACTGTCAGCCAACCCGGCTCCCTATGTTTCTGTTAAGAAAGTTTTCTGGAACGTGACCTTCTGTTTACGTGTTGTCCGGGCTGCTTTTATCCACCAAGGACAGAGCTGAGTAGATGCAACTGAGACTGTGTGACTGGCAGAACCTGGAACGTAGACGGATTTCCTGGCCCTGGGAAACAGCACGGGGGCCGGGTGCTTTCCAGTGTGGTCCAGGGCTGCGGGCTGGGACTGTGGAAGGCGAGTCCTGGACCTCGGCCTCTGGCGCACGCCGCTCACCCAGCTCAGGTTCCTCAGCCTCGGGGCGCGGCGGAGACCACGGCCCGGATTTGAACTACAGGACGTCAGGACACGATGGCACGTGGAAGAATAGAGGTCACCATCTCCAGCTACACAAAGCTTCAGTTTCCAGAAGGCCACACGCAGGACGAGAACGATGTCCTGGAACAGCCAGAACTGCAGACGGCAAATGGCTTGGGAAAGGGTGCCAATGAGAACCTTCGCGAAGCAGAAAAACACAGGCCGTTTCCCCTGCAGGTTCGGACGCCTGAACTCCGTGCTGTAACGCACGCGAGGTCTAACACATCCAACAGCCGCTGTCACAAAACGGATGGTTTCTGTTCGTTTCCTGCCGAGGGACAGAATTAGGCTTCCGGCTGCAGGCAGCGCTCCCAAGAGGACAGTAACGGGGGCGCCGAGGTGCCTCAGCACGTGAGGGGGGCGGGAGTCTGCCCCACAGGCACCGTTCGCCCGTCCCAACGTTCCAACAAAAGCCGCATCTGCAGATGCAGACGACAGGCCTCAAGAGCGTTTCACCTCGGTGACTCCTCACTGCTTCCTATGCCAAAGTGAGCTCTGCCATTAGAGCTCAGACACTCAGCCAGAACTCTGCCTCTTCAAAATCAGCTCGAATGACCTGCCTCCCTCAGCCAAGGTTCCTCTGTCCCATGTGCCCTCGCAAACCATCGCCTGACAGTCGGCCATAACTTCTACCTTTTCTAAAAAGTATCAGGTTCACTATACCTATTCTTATCTTTTTAGTTGACATAGAACTTGTATCTTCCTAAAAGTTTTTTACAATAAATGATTACTAGCATAAAAAAAAAATGAAAGCTTAGAAAAACTTTGCAGCTTCAAAAAATAGGGCAAAATGATAAGAAAATATTCAGAAAAAAGAAGTCCTTCAAAATTCAGAATTAAATACGAAAAGTTTCTTATCGATAGAGTAGTTATTAAAAAGTTTTCATCTCTGGTTCTCTCTTGTTCTCTTCGCTGTAGATCAAATGATGTAAAAAGTCAGTCAGTTCCACCAAAGTCACATTGCACCTAGCTGTCAATCACAGTTTGAGTGACCTGCATCTCCAGTACTGAGTATGTCGCTCAGACTCTCTTAACGAACGAAATCAGTAAGATGGGCACCTAACAGTTAATTCCAGTAACTTACCCACTTCAGTGAGCTGACGTCTTTCCAGTGTTAAGTTCTTCGGATCCTTAATAAAATGAAAGGGTTGTATTTTTATTCCTTCAATTTGAGGAAATAACAGAGCAAAACCAGATTCTCCAATTTCTATTTCTTGAGGTCGATTGCTACCTGATCCCATTGGAGTCACTAGGAAAAAAAGTTAAACAGTTTTATGAACGGATTCAATAAAAACTGAAGTTTCACTCTGTACCAGTGTAAATCACGGAACCCCAGCTAGGAAACCACGGTCGGGTGGCTGAGATGATCTGCAAACTAACAGGCCACTATCTGAGCTTTCGGCTCTGAAATTTTTGGAGGCAAAGATCACAATGTCTGCAATTCACTTTTGAATGGTTCAGAAAGAAATGTGCTTATAAACAAGGAGAAAAAGCAAATGTTGCAAAATTTTTTAAATTGGTGAATCTAGACGAAGGGTATATGGGTGTTAATTGTACTATTATTCAACATTTCCATAGATCTGAAGTTTTTCCAAATAAAACGGTGGGGAATAGTACATAGTTCTTCATAGAAATTCCACTTTAAAAAATGTATCCTAAAAATATTTGACGATTATACAAAGTGTATATGCACAGAGAGAGAAATGCTACTTCTACGGAATTTTCCATAGAAAAAGAAAAAGAAAAACTAAAATGCCCTACACTGGTATTTAGATTAAGAAATTACATTTATACCATCAAACATAGCCATTTAGAATGGCAGAGATATTTACTGACACAGAAATATGTTTGTTATGTGCCGTTCATTCTAAAGGTAGGTGTCAGGGAGCCAACGGTATCCCTCCAAAACCCCTATGTTAACCCCCTATGTTTTGTACGTGGAGACATGGCCTTCACAGGTAATTAGGGTTAAATGAGATCATCGAGACTGCAGTCCCGACAAGAAGGGGAAGAGACACCGAGGACGTGCACAGAGAGAAGGCCACGTGCGGACACAGCGAGAAGGGAGGCGGCCGCCCACCAGCCAGCGAGGCCTCGGGAGAAAGCACCCTGCCAACACCTCGCGCTCAGACTTCCAGCCTCCAGACTGCGAGAAAATGAACTGCTGAGGTGTAAGTCACCCAGACTGCGGTATTTTGTTACGGGTGCCTGACTGACGCACGCAAATACAGCAGGTTAGGAGCATTCAGAAAATGATACTCTTGATATAGATACACATCTCCACACGTGTAATGCCAGACATGAAAGTGTATATATCCACACGTGTAATGCCAGACATGAAAGTCGTAACACCAACAGCGCGGTTAATTCTTAAAGGTTCTTCTTTTTTTCTTTTTTGCTTCTCTGTATCTTCTCATTTTTCTTTTTTTAACAAGGGATTGTTACTAGCAGAAATGAGAAATAAACTTGAGAGTAAGATGAAAAAAATGATATTCGAAGAGAAAATTTCACAATCAAATCAAACCCCACAAAATATATCTGAATTAAAAACGTGAAAATGAAATTTCAGAGTTGTTATAAGGCTCCTTCCTCCCACAAAAGATTAGCAAAACATAAATGCAATTTTTTAAATGTCTGTAGTAGGTACTGAGACAATGTGAATTAAAATCCCAACAGGCTTTTTATAAGTATGGACAGGCTGATTCTAAAATATATGTAGAAATGCAAAGGACCCTGACAGCCCAAGAAATTTTTAAAAGAACGCCAAGACCTACAGTGATATGGCACTGGTTTAAGGACTGACGAATAAATCAATGGAACAGAATTAAATCCAGAAACAGACCTACAAACACACAGTTCATTTTCGACAAAGGTGTCAAGACAATCTAATGAGGAAAGAAAAGTCTTCAACAAATGGTGATGGGATAACTAAATAAATATATGAAAAATAATTAACCTTGAACCCCTACCTTACACCGTACACAAAACTAAGTTCAAGTTCGAGGTCACAGAACTGAATGCAAGGGCCAAAACCACACAGCTTATGGACGAAGACATATGAGAATCTCTCTGTGACCTTGGGGTAGGCAAAGATTTATTGGAGAGGACGTAGGAAAAAAAAACCGGACTTCACCAAAATAAATATTTTCTGCTCATCAAAAGACGCTGTTAAGAAGGTGGAAAGACAGTAACAGACCCGGAGAAAATATTCACAACACCAATACCTGATAAAAGGTCTTCGATCAGAACGTACAAACTCTTGCAGCTCAATAACGAAAAGACAAACAGTGCGATGAAAAAAAAAAGTCAGTGAGAGACTTGGCTATGTCACAAAGCAGATATCAACTAGATGGAAAGGTGCTCGACGTAATTAGTCATTAGAATAATTCGAATCGAAACCACCACAAGAAGCCTCTTCACACCCATCAGAATGGCTGAAGTGAAAGACTCAGACATTAAGCTTTAGGACATGCTGGTGAGTATAAAATGGTACGACTTTAAAGAACTATTGGGCAGTTTGTTATAAAGTTAAATAGGCACCAATCCACAGACGCAGAAATTGCACTTCTTGGTAACTGCCCAAGAAGAATGAACATCTGTCCACAAAAAGACATACGAAACTGTTCACAACAGCTTCATTCGTAATAGCCGGAAACTTGAAACGATCCAAACCGCCATCAAAAAGAGAACAGAAAATCAAATCATCGTTTCTTTTTATAATAGAGTACTACTCGGGACATTAAAAAAAATAAATTATTGATGCGTACGATAACATAAGTTAATCTCAAAAATAGGATGTTGTTAAAAACAAAATTCGTATTGAAAGAGCGGAGACCGAAGAGCACACACTGTACGATTCCACGTACGTGACGTTTAGCAGGCAAAACGAGCCTCGGGTCACAGAAATCGGGACCAAGGGGTCCCGCGGCAGCCAGGGGTCCCGCGGCAGCCAGGGGAGAAGCACGAGGGAGCCTGTGGGGGCTCACGCCACACGCCGACCGCGCTGGTTTCATGAAGGTGTACGTTAGCCAGAACTCGTTAGAACTGTACAATCGAGACTATGCATTTCACAGCAAGTTTACCTCAGTTAAGAAAGAAAACGACCTTTGCACATATACGAATAAATTTTCTCAAACTTGAAATTCTTCCAACTTCAAGAAGGAAGACAGGTAGCAGTAGCCAATGGCTATTTTAAAAACAACCGCTAAACTGTGGCCTAAGAAAAAGGAATCTGATCACCTGCCTTGGTGGCAGTTTCATTGAACATGCGTGGAGCTGGCTCAAAGGGTGAGAAGTGGGCCCAAAGTGAGGCAGGACGACAGGTCCTGACTGAAGGGAGCTCGGAGACGTCCTCCCCACAGCGAGATCACGAGAGCTTCGGGAAATCAGACGTGCAAAGTCAAACTTCTCTGGAATAAGGCGAGCACCAAAGGGAGGCTTCAGGCAGGTTCCCGCCCCCCGCAACCTGGGGTCGGGGAGGGCAGGACTGTTGCCCAGGCCGCCCGCCCTCCTCCCCCAGCTGAAATGTGCAAAAGGAGGACCGTGGTCGGTCGTGCTCGCGGGAAGATGCAGCGGGCGTGGACGGGAGGCCTGAGACGACCGTCTTAGACGTGAAAGCTCAGATTCTACAGAAGCGTTTGTCAATAAGTAGTAACAGCAAAAACGACATCGCTCATTTAAGGAAATTCACAAGTTAAAAGAAAACCATGGTCACAGCTATCCTATTTTTAAAAATCCAACGAGAAACAAAACGTCTAGCAATGGGGCCGAGGTAACAGCACAAGGCGGGGAGCTGATGACAGGAGAGGCAACAGTCGCCATTGGCCACACATCTGCGCAGACACGTGTAAACACCCGAAGCCCTTCGTACTTCACCACACGAGACTCTAACGTCCCGTGCAAGTGTTTCCGTGGGGGCCGGCGACGCCAAGATTGGCGGTTCCCCGAGCCGCTCCCCGCTCCCCGCGTGCGGGCTCGTTTTCCTCTCACAGCCATGCGAGGAGGGCGCCGTCACCCGTACCTCACACACAGGCCTCGAGGCCACGAGGACAGGCAGCCTGAGCAGCCGCCAGGCACAGGTGGCACGGCTGGACCCCACCCAGGCGTCGGAAGCACCGCGCCGAGGCCACAGGGAGGGAGCTGGCCAGGAGAGGCAGGGCCACCGTTCCCCACCACGAATGGCTCCAGGACACGCGTGCGGCACGCGGGTTTGTCGGGACAGCCCTGAGACGCCAGGGTCAGCCACGGCACCAGTACGAGCCAATTCGACCCCATGGGAAATACGACTGACTTCACTGTGTTCGGGTGGAAGAGAAAGAATAAATGTGCTTTAGGCCACGAGAATTCACCATCCACGGGGCCCACGACAGAGTCGTCGGGTTGGCATGCCTCTCACCTACAATCCCGGGGGTCACGATCCCCAGGACCTGGCACTGTTTGGGGAACAGCTTCTCCAGGGCAGACGCTGTCTCCACAGTAGTTCTCTTCCTGGCTGTAGTGACAGAGAAGCAAAATTATTCAACATCACTCAGTTAAGGTCAACTCCGACGGCACGGAGGAAAGAACAGCCAACACTGAATAAAGTTTAAGTCATCTTGCACTAGAACGCTTTATGAAAAAGTCAAAAGACTTTTGATGAAAACAAACGTGTTCTTGTTCTAGGCCCGTTTTCTACTTGAAATTCTGAACCTAACCATTAGCATCAGCCACCTGCTTCTCTGCTTCGTTCACATACAGCTTGTGCTTCAATGACATCGACTTAGCAAGGGCAGACAGATTTCACACTTGCGACTGTCGCTGTCTGTGCGGCTGATATTAAAGCACCATGACACTGCCTGCACAGTCCCCTGGACCCGAATGACATGACAGCCCGATGCCTATGTCTAAGGCTGGGCCTCAGGGTGTCCTCTCCGGGCTGCGGCTTCTCTGAGAGCAGAGAACACAGTGTCTACACGGAACTCTGGTAAATGGCACCCCATCATCCAACAATACGAGGCTTCAACGGCCGAAGACATGCGTCCTGTTTTAAAAATCAAAAGAAGCGCCTGGAGGATTAAAGTATTTCAAAATGAGAAAAACGGCTGTCTAAAGAATTTCTTTCAATTGCACTGCAAGGTTCAGAAAGCAACCTGTGAAGCGGAAAGAGCTCTTCAGGGCGGAAAGACAGTCAGTTCATGCGTCCCCAGGGGTAGACCCAGAGTCACCCTCAGGACAGGACACAGTCAACTCCAAACAGAAGGCGCACCACGAGACAAAAACCCCAAACCTTTTGCTTTTGATATTCACCTCTCTTGTGGCCACGACACTCCTCCAGACTAATGAAAGTTTCGGAATCAGCCATGTAAAGAACTGTCTGTGGTAAGATGTGAACATTCTGCAAAGAAAAATTCATCAGAATTAGAGCACGCAAATCCAGGAGTGCTCTCACCCTGGTCCGAACGGCTGTGGCCCTGCGCTCCTCCGGTCCATGCTGGCATCGTGTCCATCCACTCCTTGTTGATCTTTCACTCACGCGTTCATTTCAGCTCACTCATTTGTCAAACACCTATGATTTCTTTGAGTCACACTCACTGAGGCCTGACTCAATAAACGCATCTTCCTAATAAGTGAAGTTCCACAAAAACACTAAGGACCGGCAAAAAAATGCCCCTTGCTTTACCTGAACAGGCTTTACAGTAACAGAAACAACTGAGCGACAGAGGGAAGGTACAGCCCGTATCACTCATCACTTCTCTGCCCATCAGATCAAATACGCCAGGCCTTCATTTCGACCTTACCGACAAGAGTCCCACAGCGACCTTTCACTTACCATGATCCAGACACACACACTTCTTCGTGTACACGGCCACAGCTCTCTTCCTTTCCCTCCTGATTTAAGATGGTTTCCCCCAGGAGTCAGCGTAAGTGCCATCTTCTCTACAAAACCTTTTCCTAGGCCCCCTGGACTTCGCAGGCAGCATCCCTTACACGCCAGTCACTTTCACTCATGAGCTGGGCTCATTCAGACTTACGTTTTCCACCACACTTGCCATTACAGACAAATGGCCAAGTGGCTGAATTAAATGAAAAGGGCGAATGTATTTTTCCTTCTAAGCTGGCCATTCTCAAAATTTTTTTACTCTCAGAATGGAATGAAATAGCATCCGGCAAAACTTCGATGTTGATTAAATGGGGGAAAAAAGTTGATCCATTGGAATTTGGTGGAATGTTAAGATGTTTCAGAGTAGATTCCGTATGGACTAACTCATAAAAGATGCTGAGGCAGAAGGATGAGCCTGCGGTGGTCTCGGGTCTGGATAAGACCCATGGATACAGTTTCCTTGGGCCATAAATCACTTTCAAAGAATGTAATTTGGTTGCCAATATTCAAACTTCCACAAAACCTTCCATAAAGTGTGGATCTCCAGATTTTTTTGAAAAACTAGACATTTTGGCCGCACTTGAGACTGCATCCCCCTTAGCCCGGCTAAGTGGAGGAGCGCACTCTCCAGACTGCCCGGCTCTGCCACTGCCCTTGATGCTGCAGCGGCCACCTGACCCACCTGAGCCGCCTGCCTCACTCTGCAGTCATTTGAGTTTAGGACACCTGGTGCAGTGAGTAAAGGAGAGAGAATTTAAAAGATCTAGGTGTTAGTGCTGACCCCGCCACAAACCTGCAGAATAATCCCTGAAAGTGTTTAGGCCTTATGATCCCCAGTCTTAAAGACTGGAAGTCTAGTCCTGAGGTTTTATGATTCTCTTTCCCGGTACCCACTAAGAAGCAGTGACGATGAGAATCTTCATCGTGAAATGTTCTCGAAGCACAAATTAGACAACTAGAACCTCATTCCACCACCCAGAGAAGTTCCAAATGGCAATCTGTCTTACAAAAATTTCAGTGGACTTTAAAATATTTTTAATAAAAAGATTAAATCAACTTTCTTTATGGCTATACAAGTATTGTGTCCACTAGATAATTTGGCAAACACAAAGAAAACAGCATGCATGGTTTCCATGTTTTTGTCTCGGCACACTCCGATGTATCGACTTCTTTAAGTGCATTACTATATGAATTTTTAATAATGATACTAGTAATGGCAAATCACAATTTCAAATATTGAAAATAATATATTCCTGCTACTGCGGGTAATGTGATACATGCATTACCTTTTCAATATTTAACCCTTACAACAACTCCATGAGAGTATAAAAGAAATTCTTATTTTCTGAGGCTCAGAGAGGTTAGGTAGCTTTTTCAAAGTCACACAGCTAGTATGTGCCAAAGCTAATTTTATGTCTAAATCTGTCCGGCTACAACAGGCATTACAATACATAGACCTTTAAAGCTATATAAAAATAATACTTGCTATGGTAAAAATTTGAAGGAAAAAAATATTTTTAAACATTTTTTAAAAATCGCACAATTCTCCTTTACTGGGACAACTGTAAATGGAATCCCAGGGCTGGACGGTAGAAACGTATGGAAGACACCACCTTCTGACTTCGATGGTCGTGGCGCTGTGGCCGTGCGCTGTCCTCGCCTGTACTGAGGCATACCACGCTACAGGGAGTGAGGACAGCCGCGGTCCCCACGATGCTGTGGAATGACTCCCTCCTCCCACACTCCCGAGTGGGATGCCACAGCCTCACTGTCACCTGTGCTCAAAGGCTCTCTGATTCCCCCTGTTCGAGTCTCTACCTGCCTAGAGATACGGCATAGAAAAGTACAGTACTGGGGACTGAATTAAGTATGGGCGGGTTCTTGGCCACTGCGTGTGACGCTAAGCTTGAGAGACTCAGTTGCCTTCCCTAGAAAAATGACGACAAAACGTGCTTCAAAGGGCAACAGGTAAAAAGGCATTATCGTGACAGTGAAAATCTGGATAAGTGCCCAACATCTGAAGAATGGTCAAATAAAACCAGGGCACAGCCTTACAATATCCACTCGTCAGAGCTGGTGTTTACAAAATCTTTAATGCCACGAGAGAGATTTCCCTAATTTTAAACGAGAAGCCCACGTACAGAATCGAGATTTGAAAGACGATTTAGGTCGCAAAGGCTGACCCGGCGGCCCCCGAAGGCCTGAGCACCGCACGCCTTCTACTTGCCTCAAGCTCCTCGGCCGCCACGCGGACCAAGCAGTGCTCCAGCGGGTGGCCGGCGTCCGCCGAGCTCGCCGAGATCCAGGCCACCCTCCGCTGGGCGCGCAGCACTCTGCGCACGCTCT